ACCACTGCCGCTCGACCTGACCGGAGAAAACCGTAGCAGGAAGCTAGCGAAGTCGTAGTATATATCGTCAAATAGAACTGCCCGGTAAACCGTAGGCAGAGAGGGAGAAGATATATATATATATATATATATATATATATATATAGCTTACTTTTCTTTCAAAAAAAAAGATTAAAAAAGAAAACAGAAAAAGATATATAATCCCAGCCGTACTCGCACAAGCAACCTTTTCTGACTGAATCTCGACTAAACTACGATCAGGTACATCTCGGAAAGTCCCTCATGTGAGCAAAGCCCCTCAAACGGCATCAGCGGAATGTTTCTTTTTGCTGCCGACATTCGTTTGTTTGTCTTGTCCTCATTTGACCATTTCTCGATTTATGCGTGTCATCCTTACGCAGGGGCCATGCTAATCTTCTCTGTATCGTTAACGGATGTCCGGAAGGACTTGTCATTTGAGCTCACGCTCGTACAGGGGAGCTTCTCGGACTGAATTTGGCTGCCATTAAGGTCGGATGAGTCAAGGGAAAAAATCCCTCCTGCCCTCAAACGCCACCACCAACAATATAGAAGTCGCGGAGAGATTTCTTTTTCTGTGCCGCAGGTTGGCACTTGACCCATAACCGAAACGAAATATCATTTGTGCGCCCTATATAAGAGGAGCATTTGTACGCCCTATATAAGTGCTGGAGCTATCTTCTATGGCGACTGTACTTGAACAGGATCTGTTCTGTAGGTCGTAAATTCTTCTGTATCTACGAATACAGACGACTCGTCAAGCCTGGATGATGAGTGGAGTCTCCCGTCTCAGAGCGCGAATGCCAGGCAGGCAGATGTTTCAACATCCGTCAGCCATCCGCTGAACGCATTCCTCGGACTTGGCTGAGGGGTAATGGGGTGGAAGCGCTCTGACAGGTCACCAAATTACTTTTGCGTTGCTACCCTCCTCTCCCTTCGGAAAACCCTTCTTGTTGGGTGCTCTTGCCTTTGGAAAATCACAGCCGTTAGCGGCTTGCATGATTACTTTTTTGGAGGCTGCCCTTGCTTTGGGAAAAATTGGGTCATGCAGGGGTCAGCTCCCGGAGTAACGACATGGGCACGCTCAAACAGGTGCTTGGTCCGAGAGCAATGGGTTGGTTTTGTCAAAGATCCTTTTTTTTTTTTTTTTAAGCCCAGGTTGTTGCCTACTAAGCTTACTACCGTTAATTGGCAGTAGGCAGGGGGCAGTACATGGGCTCTCCACACCCCACTCTTCCCCCCCGCCAGCTTCTGGGGTGCAAGTTCTCTTCTATCTGTAGCTTTTTTTTTTTTTTTTTTTTTTTTTAAATAAAAGGCAATGCTCCAGTCTATTCGTGGGGAGCAGCGAGTGCTGGGAACCAGGCCCAGGGTCCCATTCGAAAGCGTATTGAGAAACATATGCAGAACAATTTGAGATACCGGGGACATTACCCGGCTTCGGCTAGGACTGGTAGCTAATAGCTATGCACATAAAACTGAGCAGACTGCAAATCCACTGAAGAACACTCTGATTCTAAAATAAGCTTCTTCTATACAGAATGCAGAGCCCAACCCTTTTTTTGCCACATCCTACTCAGGCAGAAAAGCTATGAGAAAAACGGTTCAAAAACCCCAAGCCTTTGATCTATAGGAGATTCCAAACCTCAAACAACCTGCCTTGGTGCCTTTCAGCAGCCCAACCCTAAACCTACCTCAACCCCTATATAACCCGATACCCAATCGCTACCAGGCCTCACACCCCCAACTGCTAAGTTACAGAGCATTTCCGCTTGGGAAAAACTTTCCAACCCATCTGTCCCAGTCTTGGGCTGCCGATCCGCTGGCTGAACTGAACTTGGCTGTATTTTTTTTTTTTTTAAATATTATTATTATTATTATTATTATTATTTATTTTTTAAAACATCCACGGAGGCAGCTTGAGGCGCTGGTAGGAGCAGTCACCTCAAGCTGGTCCGGGGGAGGCTCCATCTATTGGTGGGGAGCAGCACCTGCTGGAAAACGGGCCCAGCGTCCCAATTTACAGAATTCAGAAGATTCATAGCAATTTCATACGTGTAGTGTGTGCAGTGTTTCTGTGCAGGTATAACTGGCTGTAAATTGAGAGCAGTGGTGGGACACCTTCTGTTGGGATTGCTTCCCTTTTTTTTCTTTTTTTTCTTTTTTTTCTTTTTTTTTCTTTTTTTTTCTTTTTTTTTCTTTTTTTTTCTTTTTTTTTCTTTTGCTGGGCTTTGCTACAGTCTTTCCCCGAGTAGAACATATGGTCCTGACATCTGTATTTGGGGTAACTTTCAGTCCAGTTGCGGCGATAATGACCATACATTCTATTCGGGGGAAGATTGTAGCTGCTTCGCCTGTTGCTCAGCATACAGGTGTGAATAGGCTGAATATCCAAGACAGATACGACAATCCCTACTGCTCCTTGGGTCATTCATTGCAAGGTCTCCCAAAGGTTGACCTTTGGGCCAAAAAAGGTTCATTTGAGGAAAATGGACCCCCTGAGTTCTTCCCAATTGTTCATTTCTGAGCATTCGAAAAGAGGTGAGTAGTCATTCATAGTTTGTTAACCTCTCCTTTAACTCTCTTGAATTTCCTCAATAGTTCTCAGATTGATTCTCAGCCGAAGCCAGGCAATGGCCCCGGCATCTGAAATGACTTGTGCAACTCTATATGGGATGCTGGGCCCGGTTCCCAGCACGTGCTGCTCCCCACGAATAGACTGGAGCATTTGTCCAAAAAAAAAAAAAAAAAAAAAAAAAAAAAAAAAAACCGTGAGTTCGCATGGACCCCCAAGAACCCATGCAGGTTGCATCGTAGAGGACTGCCAACACTGAGTATGCACCCCAAGACTGGGATATATGGGCTGGAAATTAAAAAAAGGGACAACGGCGCCCCCCAAGATAGTTGGCTTGCCCCCTTCCCAGTACGTGCAGCTGTAGTGAAGCCTTTGGGATAGGGGCAATTCAGGGGGTCCATTGCCTTTTTCCTTTTCCTTTTTTTTGGAAAAAAATGATGACGGCCTTTAAGGAGCAAGCCTTCTCCCTTACCGATTTGGATGGGCTACATACAGTCTGCTGAGTTTCCAACACTGATTTGGAGGGGAGGAGGGGGGGGGAGGGGATCCGCGCAAAAGTATTTGATGACCTGTCAGAGCGCTCCCACCCCATTACCCCTCAGCCGAGACCGAGGAGTGCGTTCATCGGACGGCTGACGGATGTCGAAACTTCCGCCTGCCTAGCATTCGCGCTCTGAGACGGGAGACTCCACTCATCATCCAGGGTTAATGAGTCGTCTGTATTCGTAGATACAGAAGAGTGTACGACCTACAGAACAGATCCTGTTCAAGTACAGTCGTGATAAAAGAAGGCAGGAGCTCGTCTTATATAGGGCGCAAAAATGATCTTTCATTTTGGTTATGGGCGAGGGGCCAACCTGCGGCACAGAAAAAGAAATCTCTGCGCGACTGCTATATTGYTGTTGGTGGCGTTTCAGGGCAGGAGGGAATTTTTCCCTTGACTCATCCGACCTTAATCGCCRCCAAATTCAGTCCCAGAAGCTCCCCTGTGCGAGCGCGCGTGAGTGAGCTCAAATGAGGACAAGACAAACAAACGAATGTCGGCAGCAAAAAGAAACGTTCCGCTGATGCCGTTTGAGGGGCTTTGGTCACATGAGGGACTTTCGGAGATGTACCTGATCGTAGTTTAGGTGAGATTCAGTCAGAAAAGGTTGCTTGTGCGAGTATGGCTGGGATTATATATCTTTTTTTGTTTTTTGTTTTAATCTTTTTTTTTTATGAAAGAAAAGTAAGCAATATTCTTCTCTCATCTATTTCATATTCTTAGTAGTATGCATCTATCTCATCCTCTCACTACGGTAGTCTCTAGTACTGGGGAACGCCAACCAACCCGGATCTCTCAACCAGCCCACGGGGTAGGTGGGGACCACAGCTGTGGTGCGAGAGCAAGGCTGTACCAGTCTCTCATCACCGTGACGAGTGGTGGGCAGGCATTGCCGATGGCGGAAATCAGCGGTCCTACCGTCTTCCCCCGAACACAACGCACCCTCGTTTTGGCTGTATCTGGCCGGAAAGATAGCTTGTATACATTCATTTTTAGGGTGCTTTATGTTGCGGGGAAGACCGTAGAGCCGAGCAATGGCCAGTCACTGCCGATGGGGGAAATAGGTGGTGCTAGCTCCCAGGAAATAGGGCAGGCAGCCATTGCCCATGGGGGACCCCATCGGTATCTACGAATATACGTATTATTATTATTATTATTATTATTATTTTTTTTTTTTTTTTTTTTTAACGAATACGTATTGCTGGATCATGGGTATTGGAAACTCAGCAGACTGTAGCCCCATGGTCCATTGCCTTTTGGGACAGAGGGAATTGAGGGGGTCCACTGCCTTTATTCCTTTTCCTTCAGCCTCCTGATCAGGAGAAACTTGGACGCAACAGTCTGTTACGGCCCCTGGTTTGTTGTTCTCTTCTCTCTGCCTGCGGTGCACTGCGCAGTTCCCAATGGCGATATAGATATATAAATATATTGTTAGATTACATATTCAAATTTCGTATAAATTATTAAATTATTATTAAAAAAAATAAATGTATTTCTAATTCATATTCTAGAAGGTGACACTGAGTAGCGTGGGGTGAAGTACCTTGGAAGCATCCTTCTCGTAGACAGCATAGAACATGTCCAGCAGCTTGCCTTTCGTCACAGACCTTATATCTCCCATCATACCAAAATCGTAATAAATCAACAACCCGTCATCGCTGACGGCCAAATTTCCGGGGTGTGGATCCGCATGGAAAAAACCTGTCCTGAGTATCTGCACCAAATCAGACAAAAGACAAAAAGAAAAAAGATGAGAGAGGCGAGAGCGAGGAGAGAGAGAGGCGAAAAAAAAAAAAAAAAGGGAGAGAGAGAGGAAAGAGGGAAGAGGGAGGTGGGTGAGTGGGCGTCAGTCCGTTGACCTAGAGAAAATTAAAACAATAGCACACACACACACACACACACACACACACACACACACACGCACACACGCACACAAGATTGACCAGCAATGAAAAAAAAGAAAAATAAGATTGACCAGCAATGAAAAAAAAGAAAAAAAAGATTGACCCGCAATGAAAAAAAAGAAAAAAAAGATTGACCAGCAATGAAAAAAAACATTGACCAGCATCAAAAACAATTTTATTTTTTTTACCAGCACTAGTACCTCGCCCACTCGATGAAGGGTGGGGGACGATGAGAAAGGGAGGCACAGCTACTGGCAGGTCTCGGTCTTTGTGTTAGCCAGACCCCCACTGGCGGCCCCGACCCTATACCCTAACCATTAGGGGCAAGGGGCAACATGAAATCTCCCCTTCACAGAGAGAGGAAAAACTATGCTCGCAGGGGTCCCCTCTAGATAGTCTTAGGAGTAGGTAATGGAAGGTAAAAGAAACAGAAGTTGAGAGAAGAGTGAAGAAAGAACAGAAAAAAAAAAAAAGAAAAAAAAAAAAAAGAAGGAAAAACTGGCGGCCGTTGTTTCGTTTCGGCCATCCGAAAAGGTCGGAGGCCCACCCGCTATTTTCCCACGTGGCAAAGGTACTAGTGGTTTAAACAAAAAAACGATTGACCAGCATTAAGAAAAAAAAAAAGATTGACCATCATTAAAAACAAAAAAAAATAAAATTGACCGGCATTACTAAAAAAAAAGATTGACCAGCATTAAAAAAAAAAAAAAAAAATTTGACCGGCATTAGTGCCTTTTTTTTTGAAGTTTGACCCTAGGCTACCTTGGCAGATTGGATATGGATGGGCTTCTCATTCCAGACAAAAACCTGGGTTTTTCTCGTGGCTACACAATCCACACCGGGGGGAAGGGGGCGTAGCAGAGTATACAATGGAACAGCCAAGAAAGTCCCATCTGCCCGTGCCTTCATCAGTCCTTACCAAAGATAGGTTCGAATCGTAAGCAGACTGAAATTTCTCAAGTAGCGATGCCGCATTGTTAAGCGAACCATCGTCTTGCTTCGGCATCAATACAAAGATGCTGATGTCGTCGACCAGCCTGATACCAGTTACAAAATCTGCCGTCTGTCCCAATGGATTTTAGGAGCACACACTCGTTGTCTGCACACAGCAGGCAGGCTAGCTAGCGCTGGGCTTGAACTCTTGCCCATTGGGATTCCTACTATTTGCCTAATAATCCTCTTTTTTTTTTTCTTTTTTCTTTTTTGCCTAATAATCCTGCATGCAACACTACTTGCAAATGTGTGTTTTCTAAGTCACATAGCACAAACTCCACCATCAGGGAGAACTTAACAGACAGACACCCACCCTTTTTCTCCGAAACTTGTCGAAAAACACGCCCCTTTCCCAGTTCTGTTGACGCGCACACTTCTACGCCTTTCCCCAATGAACACACCACATACCCATTCAACCGTCTTCAGGACGGACTTATGAGGTAACCTAGCGAACATTTCTTTAACATCAAAGCAAACACCTTTCAGACACCCATTCTTCGTCTTCGATGCACGCTTGTGAATGGCTTGCATCCTGCCTTTGAGCAGTGAGGTGGATTTGAGATTGAAATGGGAGGTAGGGGGGGAGACTCCAAAGAAGGAAATTGACGGCCCTGGAGACAACCTTGCATGCTTTTACGCTGGGTTTGGAAAAGGATGGTGAAATCGGCCGCCACCTAGACGCATCCTCGTGCTTAGGGATGCCATAGCAGCAGCCGAGCGATCCCTTTTTCACATTCCATGCTGCAATTTCCTTTGCTGCTGGAATGAATGCCTTCCCGTGTGTTGCTGAGTTTTTCTAAGTCTGTGTATGTGCGCGTGCTTGCTGGCCTGCGTGCCTGTCTGAGTGCTTTTCGGTCTGAGTGTGTGTGTGACCCGCAAGGGCACTTGTTTGTTCGGAGGCCCACCAGGGCCGGTACTTAACCTGTGGCCAGGACTTTGAGGGTTGTAGCGGGGAAAAGCACTCAAGTAGCAGGAGTAGGCCCGCCGCACTTACAGAGGCAGGTAGGCCGCTATATCTTCATGTAGAGCGCTGGGCTCTACCTCATTTGCGGCATGCTGCTTAAGCAAGCGCTGGACTTCAGGGCGCTGCTAGGAGGAAGAGCGCTGGGCGTTACAGCACTGGGAGGAGGAAGAAGGCCGGGAGCTTCCACCTCGGCTATGGTGGAGCTCTACTGGTAGGAGGAGGAGGAAGAAGGGCGCTAGGGAGGAGAGTGGCGAGGTACCTACCTTTCTATGGTGGGCACCATCTTCATCACCTTGTTAGGCGCTGCATCTGGAAGGCCCCAGTTGGGGTTCCGCCGCACCAAGAAGGCTTCAAGGCAGAGTCAGGCATGGCGGCCTGAACAGCAGCTGACATAGCTGCTTTGCGTTGTCTTTCACACAGCAGGGCTAGGCCCTTAGTAGTCCGCCATAGCCTCCGCCTGGTTGAGGAGGAAGAAGATGGAGGCCATGGCTATGGTGGACCTCTAGTGATGCCAAGCAGTGGAAATGGGATTCAGACATTCATTCTGGTTCTGCCATTCTTCATTATTACCATTGTTTGTTATTTGAATAAGAGGGGAGGAGAAAAGGAGGAGGAGTTTGGTTGGTGAGAAAGAGAGGGATTATCATTTGTCATTTGCTGGTGTACATCTTCTTCTTCTTCTTCTTCTTCTTCTTCTTCTTCTTCTTCTTCTTCTTCTTCTTCTTCTTTCATCTCTCCCTCCTCACAAGTTCATTGAACTTTATTCATTTCTTTTGCAATTGGACGACATTGTGCTTTTCTCGTGAATTTTGCACTTCGAAATTGGCCAGGATCGTAACAGACGTGTATTTATTCCTTACAATTTGCATTTCCTAAGTACCAACTTGACATACATTACCTTTCTCGGCCTTTCGGCTAAGATCAAGTGTAGTATCTGTTCTGGGGCACGGTTCCACTAGCACACGAGTCATGGCCTAGTGCGACGCCAGAAAAACGAAGAAAACTCCAGAAAAACGAAGAAAAGAGAAAAAAGAAAAGTAAAGTGGTGACTTTTCAAGTCCCAAGGTGGGGACGGGCCCAACCTTTGGAAGTGCTGCAAAAGGCTGTGCCATCTTCTTGAACGGTAGAATGGACAGTCGATGAATGTATCCTCTCGCAGAACGCAGCCAGATTCTTTTCTTCCATCTTTCTTTATTGCCTGAGGGTGCACCTATGACAAGTGCTACGTGACGATTGCAGTCCGAGTCTCACGTACCACAGAGATGGAGTGGAGTCCCTTAGTGTGCCCGACGGGACTGCCTCCTGTGACGGTTCCCATGTTCAAGCGTGAAGTCCTTATATTCTGAGAAAGAAATAAAGTCCTCGAGGGGCTTTCTATTGACCGGAAAAGAAAGCACGGGCAATACGAACGACTTAGAGTACTTGATTTTTTTTTTTGTTTTCGACAACCACCAATCAAAAACAGACTTGGTATTTCTTTTCCCCACATCCTGTTATTCACCAAAAAAAAAAAAACAAGAAAAGTTCTGAAAAAGTAAATTAAAACACAAATTTTAAATATACAAACATCTTTATTTTGCTGCCCTCGGATTTCGATGCAGCAACGGCTGGTGGATGTCGCCATGCGACAATATACCTTACTCAGTTGCTAGTGGAACCGTGCCCCTGATCAGTTTAATATCTGATCCCTGGTCCATTGGGAAAAAAACAAATAAAAAATAAAATAAAAAATCCTGCACTTTCATTTTACCATTTATTTCCTATTTTTTTAGTACTGAGTACGGCCTTAG